CAGTGATATCCTGATGGACTATGTGTGGGGGAAGCAGCAGAGGCAGGTTGAACAGGTCCACGGCAATGGGAAGTTCCCCTCCTCTGTCCCTGCACCTTCTCTTTCTCACTTCAATGGTTACCCCCACCCTCACCCCCAGCCGCAGGGGCATCTCTCCGGACCCCAGCATCTCTCCGGGGGCCCTCCAGCCTACAGAAGTCCCCTGATGCTCCGGGGGAAGCCTGGCGAGCCACGTCGGGTCAAGGTGACCCGCACCAAGTCCTGTGGTCCCTTCATTCCTCTCCAGCAACACCAGCAGGAGGCTCTTCTTTCCTCCTCCTCTGATCCTCCTCTCCCTCCCACCTCCACCTCTACCGGGACCTCCACAGCTACCCTGTACCCCCACCAGGGGTTTGGGGTTGAATCCCACCAGCACCAGTTGGGGCCTGGATCAGGACCAGGTCTGAGACCACCCCAGTACTCTGATTCCGTCACCCCAGATGACCCCACCCGCAGCCTGCACAAGGCCCTGGCCCTGGAGGGGTTAAGAGACTGGTACCTGAGAAACACCCTGGGGGGGAAGGGACTGGGGCAGGACAACGGGGGACCCCCCAAGATACATACCACAGACTCCCTGCATGGGTCACACCCTCACCAGCTCCCCCACCAGCCCCAGGCCTACCAGGGAGACTACCATCCTCGCCAACTGCCAAAGTCACAGACCTTCCAGGGGCTTCCACTACATGGCAGGTTGGTTATGTCTGAGAGGTTGTTGTGAGTCTGTGTGCTCTCGTGTTCTGGTTGTTGTCCTATTACATAGGAAGACAGTCATATTGAACGTTAGCTTTTACTCTCTCTCTCTCTCTCTCTCTCTGTCTCTGTCTCTGTCTCTGTCTCTGTCTCTGTCTCTGTCTCTCTGTCTCTGTCTCTGTCTCTGTCTCTGTCTCTCTCTCTCAGGTCGGTAGAGTTGTCTCTGTACCAGGAGTCCTTCCCATCCCAGATGCAGGAGCTGACCCTGAAAGAACCCAGCACTGACAGAGGTGACCTGCCGACCCCAGGCACATTGGTCTGACAACAACAACAACAAACAGAGGTGACCTGCCGACCCAGGGCACACTGATCTGACAACAACAACAACAAACAGAGGTGACCTGCCGACCCCGGGCACACTGGTCTGACAACAACAACAACAAACAGAGGTGACCTGCCCACCCCGGGCACACTGGTCTGACAACAACAACAACAAACAGAGGTGACCTGCCGACCCCGGGCACACTGGTCTGACAACAACAACAAACAAACATGTTATTGACTGATGACACAATCATGTTATAGAGCACCTTACTGTACCAACATACAGAAAGGAGAACATGGAAGACAACAGCGCTGATATCCAGAGCAATTTACAGGAGCAATTAGGGTTAAGTGCCTTGCTCAAGGGCACAGTGACACATTTTTCACATAGTACTCTCAGGGATTCAAACCTTTCAGTTACTGGCCCAACGCTCTTAACCGCTAGGCGTCTGTATGGAAGACATTAATTTACACAATATTTCATTTGTCTTCTTTCTGTCCAGTTTTGGGAGACGATAACCAGGTCTCCATCCAACCTTTTGATGTGATTAAAGTACATGTCGGATAAAGAAAGGTACAACAGGCCTGATGGAAACAAACATTTTAAACGTTCAGAATGTCGACATAACAGAATACGCTAGACGAGGTGGGATCTGTTTGTGTCTGTAAAATTAATAATGCGAGAAATGTTGGTGGAAACGTCTTTATGAGGAAATATTGACATAATAACCGTCATATCGAAGTAAACTTGGAGTCAAGCGATAACATGCTGTGTGGTCCTCCCACTAGGACTCATCCGGAAACCATGCAGTTTATTAGGCTACAGATGAAATAAGTAATGATGAACGTCACAGGGTGGTGAAAGTACAAGGTGATGAGCTTGATGCTCCTTTCCAATAAATATCGAGGGTCTTATTCTGGTGAAATGATGATTGATGCTTGGCTGCCGTTTGACAAATAAAAATAATCTTGCTATTATCCATAATAATCTTATCATGTAGGATTATTATGGATAATAGCAAGATTATTTGTATTTGTATCTGTGAGCCGTTGGCTAGAGTGCACGTGCCAAGACCAGAGGGCACATTATATTTTACATTTTAGTCCTTTAGCAGACGCTCTTATCCGGAGCGACTTACAGTTAGTGAGTGCATACATTTTTCATATTCGCTATATAACACAACAGTTAGTGACAAAACCATCAGTAGAGTTCAAAAAGATGGAAACCCATTTAACTTGTGTTTTTATTTCCGTACATTGGGGAATTACATCGTTAACTTTCCCCCAGAATTCAATCACCCCCGGACATTTCCACAGCACATGTTGAAAAGTATCACCCTTGTGGTGCAGAATTCACATAAAGGTCCCTTGTGGTGCTGAATTCACATAAAGATCCCTTGTGGTGCTGAATTCACATAACGGTCCCTTGTGGTGCAGAATTCACATAAAGGTCCCTTGTGGTGCTGAATTCACATAAAGGTCCCTTGTGGTGCTGAATTCACATAAAGGTCCCCAGTGGTGCAGAATTCACATAAAGGTCCCTTGTGGTGCTGAATTCACATAAAGGTCCCTTGTGGTGCAGAATTCACATAAAGGTCCCTTGTGGTGCTGAATTCACATAAATGTCCCTTGTTGTGCTGAATTCACATAAAGGTCCCTTGTGGTGCTGAATTCACATAAAGGTCCCTTGTGGTGCAGAATTCACATAAAGGTCCCTTGTGGTGCAGAATTCACATAAAGGTCCCTTGTGGTTGCTGACTTCACATAAAGGTCCCTTGTGGTGCTGAATTCACATAAAGGTCCCTTGTGGTGCAGAATTCACATAAAGGTCCCTTGTGGTGCAGAATCACATAAAGGTCCCTTGTGGTGCAGAATTCACATAAAGGTCCCTTGTGGTGCAGAATTCACATAAAGGTCCCTTGTGGTGCAGAATTCACATAAAGGTCCCTTGTGGTGCAGAATTCACATAAAGGTCCCTTGTGGTGCTGAATTCACATAAAGGTCCCTTGTGGTGCTGAATTCACATAAAGGTCCCTTGTGGTGCAGAATTCACATAAAGATCCCTTGTGGTGCTGAATTCACATAACGGTCCCTTGTGGTGCAGAATTCACATAAAGGTCCCTTGTGGTGCTGAATTCACATAAAGGTCCCTTGTGGTGCTGAATTCACATAAAGGTCCCCAGTGGTGCAGAATTCACATAAAGGTCCCTTGTGGTGCTGAATTCACATAAAGGTCCCTTGTGGTGCTGAATTCACATTAAGGTCCCCAGTGGTGCAGAATTCACATAAAGGTCCCTTGTGGTGCTGAATTCACATAAAGGTCCCTTGTGGTGCAGAATTCACATAAAGGTCCCTTGTGGTGCTGAATTCACATAAATGTCCCTTGTTGTGCTGAATTCACATAAAGGTCCCTTGTGGTGCTGAATTCACATAAAGGTCCCTTGTGGTGCAGAATTCACATAAAGGTCCCTTGTGGTGCAGAATTCACATAAAGGTCCCTTGTGGTGCAGAATTCACATAAAGGTCCCTTGTGGTGCTGACTTCACATAAAGGTCCCTTGTGGTGCTGAATTCACATAAAGGTCCCCAGTGGTGCAGAATTCACATAAAGGTCCCTTGTGGTGCTGAATTCACATAAAGGTCCCTTGTGGTGCAGAATTCACATAAAGGTCCCTTGTGGTGCAGAATCACATAAAGGTCCCTTGTGGTGCTGAATTCACATAAAGGTCCCTTGTGGTGCTGAATTCACATAAAGGTCCCTTGTGGTGCAGAATTCACATAAAGGTCCCTTGTGGTGTTGAATTCACATAAAGGTCCCTTGTGGTGCATAATTCACATAAAGGTCCCTTGTGGTGCAGAATTCACATAAAGGTCCCTTGTGGTGCAGAATTCACATAAAGGTCCCTTGTGGTGCAGAATTCACATAAAGGTCCCTTGTGGTGCAGAATTCACATAAAGGTCCCTTGTGGTGCAGAATTCACATAAAGGTCCCTTGTGGTGCAGAATTCACATAAAGGTCCCTTGTGGTGCAGAATTCACATAAAGGTCCCTTGTGGTGCTGAATTCACATAAAGGTCCCTTGTGGTGCAGAATTCACATAAAGGTCACTTGTGTTGCAGAATTCACATAAAGGTCCCTTGTGGTGCAGAATTCACATAAAGGTCCCTTGTGGTGCTGAATTCACATAAAGGTCCCTTGTGGTGCTGAATTCACATTAAGGTCCGTTGTGGTGCTGAATTCACATAAAGGTCCCCTGTGGAGAGGACTAATACCCATGTGATGTCTTTGCATTTAAACAGCTTGGAAAATTACAGAAAATGATGTCATGAAATTTGAGTCAATTGGAGGTATACCTGTGGATGTATTTCAAGGCCTACCTTCAAACTCAGTGCCTCTTTGCTCGACATCATGGGAAAATCAAAAGAAATCAGCCAAGACCTACCTCAGATTTTTTTTTTTTTACCTCCACAAGTCTGGTTCATCCTTGGGAGCAATTTCCAAACGCCTGAAGGTACCACGTTCATCTGTACAAACAATAGTACACAAGCATAAACACCATGGGACCACGCAGCTGTCACACCGCTCAGGAAGGAGACGCGTTCTGTCTCCTAGAGATGAACGTACTTTGGTGCGAAAAGTGCAAATCAATCCCAGAACAACAGCAAAGGACCTTGTGAAGATGCTGGAGGAAACAGATACAAAATTATCTATATCCACAGTAAAACGAGTCCTATATCGACATAACCTGAAAGGCCGCTCAGCAAGGAAGAAGCTACTGCTCCAAAACCGCCATAAAAAAGCCAGACTACGGTTTGCAACTGCACATGGGGACAAAGATCTTACTTTTTGGAGAAATGTCCTCTGGTCTGATGAAACAGAAATAGAACTGTTTGCCCATAATGACCATTGTTATATTTGGAGGAAAAAGGGGGGAGCTTGCAAGCCAAAGAACACCATCCCAACCGTGAAGAACGGGGGTGGCAGCATCATGCTGTGGGGGTGCTTTGCTGCAGGAGGGACTGGTGCACTTCACAAAATAGATGATGAAGGAAAATTATGTGGATATATTGAAGCAACATCTCAAGACATCAGTCAGGAAGTTAAAGCTTGGTCACAAATGGGTCTTCCAAATGGACAATGACCCCAAGCATACTTCCAAAGTTGTGGCAAAATGGCTTAAGGACAACAAAGTCAAGGTATTGGAGTGGCTATCACAAAGCTCTGACCTCAATCCTATAGAAAATGTGTGGGCAGAACTGAAAAGGCTTGTGCGAGCAAGGAGGCCTACAAACCTGACTCAGTTACACCAGCTCTGTCAGGAGGAATGGGCCAAAATTCACCCAGCTTATTGTGGGAAGCTTGTGGAAGGCTACCCGAAAGGTTTGACCCAAGTTAAGCAATTTAAAGGCAATGCTACCAAATACTAATTGAGTGTATGTAAACTTCTGACCCACTGGGAATGTGATGAAAGAAATAAAAGCTAAAATAAATCATTCTCTCTACTATTATTCTGACATTTCACATTCTTAAAATAAAAGGTGATCCTAACTGACCTAAGACAGGGAATTTTTACTAGGATTAAATGTCAAGAATTGTGAAAAACTAAGTTTAAATGTATTTGGCTAAGGTGTATGTAAACTTCCGACTTCAACTGTAGGTTCTATGGCAAATGTTCAAATTAATTAATTGGTGATTGGAGTTTTTAGATGATCCAAATATATTTTTCCCAATTCCTTTCTGTCAAAGTGTTAAATATTTTCCTCATACATTAGATTTTTTATTAATTTAATTAATCAGTTAATGGTCTTTGTGCTGCTATACATAATTGACTATAGATATCAGAAACAACTCTGGACCTCACCACAGTGGGACAGTAGATTTTCAGGCAGTTTCAATACATACAGGTGTGTAGGAGTTTACCTTTCTAAGTAGACCAGCATTGTTTTTATGAACACAAACCCACAAAAGTGTTCACTAGGTATGAAAAATGTATGCACTCACTAAACTGTAAGTCGCTCTGGATAAGAGCGTCTGCTAAATGACTAAAATGTAAAATGTAGGTCTCACCATTATGAATTTTTTTATTTTAGGACCTTTTTGTTCAACATCTAGGAGTCATTATACTCCTTATAGAGTAGGTCTACATTCTGAAATACACATTTTCACATTAATTTATTCAACATTAAAAATATTAAAATTAAAGACTCAAAAGTACAATTTTAGATTGTGTAATTTTAAGACATATTGTTTGGAACAATATACTCTAGAAGTACATCCTATTTCCAGAGTGCTAATTCTGAAGGTATGGTACATTGAATGGTGAAATGGATTCAAAGGGAACTCCCTCTTCTGGTGATTAGCAAATGTGCTGTGGTTGGTTAATGACCTACAGTGCATTCGGAAAGTATTCAGACCCCTTGACTTTTCAACATTTTGTTACGTTACAGCCTTATTCTAAAATGGATTAAATAAATTAAAAATCCTCATCAATCTACACACAATACCCCATAATGACAAAGCGAAACGTTTTTTTACATTTTAGCAAATGTGTTCAAAATAAAAAACAGAAATACCTTATTTACATAAGGTGCATCCTGTTTCCATTGATCATCCTTGAGATGTTTCTACAACTTGATTGGAGTCCACCTGTGGTCAATTCAATTGATTAGACATGATTTGGAAAGGCACACACCTGTCTATATAAGGTCCCACAGTTGACAGTTCATGTCAGAGCAGAAACCAAGCCATGAGGTCGAAGGAATTGTCCGTAGAGCTCCGAGACAAGATTGTGTCGAGGGACAGATCTGGGGAAGGGAACCAAAACCAATTAATCAATTTTAGAATAAGGCTGTAACGTAACAAAACGTAAAAAGTAAAGGGGTCTGAATACTTTCTGAATGTATAATAAAATGGGTCATACATCGCTGATACGTATCAAAGTAGTGGATCAATGAATAGGGCTGATGGAACAGATCAGAATGTTAAAATGTTGAACAACTATTATTTATTCACATTTAAGGCGCAGCGATGTACACACGGCAGTAGGCTATTTGAAGAATCTCAAATATAAAATATATTTTGATTTGTTTAACACTTTTTTGGTTACTACATGATTCCATATGTGTTGTTTCATAGTTTTGATGTCTTCACTATTATTCTACAATGTAGAAAATAGTTTAAAAAATTAAGAAAAACTCTTGAATGAGTAGGTGTTCTAAAACTTTTGACTGGTAGTGTACGTTTTTCCAGCAGCAGACTATGATCGATAATGTCAAAAGCTGCACTGAAGTCTAACAAAACAGACCCCACAATCTTTTTATTATAAATTTCTCCCAGCCAATCATCAGTCATTTCTGTGTGTGCCTTTCATGTTGAATGTCCTTCCCTGTAAGCGTGCTGAAAATCTGTTGTTAATTTATTTACTGTAAAATAATATTGTATCTGGTCAAACACAATTTTTCTCAAAAGTTTACAAAGGGTTGGTAACAGGCTGATTTGTCGGCTATTTGAGCCAGTAAAGGGGGCTTCACTATTCTTGGGTAGCGGAACGACTTTTGCTTCCCTATAGGCCTGAGGGCACACACTTTCTAGTAGGCTTAAATTGAATACATGGCAAATAGGAGTACCAGAGAGCCCACTCTAGATATCATTAAAAGTACCAGAGATATTCAGATCAATATTTTTTATGTTGAAAAAAGCCATGCAACAGACAGGTGAAGCTGGGATTCAATCCCATCACACTTTGTCGGCTATGCACCTTTTTAAAGGCAATGTTTCCATGTTTGCAGAGACCACATATGTCGGCTAAATCGAAAATTACTTTTAAATGTTGAGCGTGCTATAACGTGGATCTACCACTGATCAGATTGAATCCAGGAGAGAGACCAGTGTAGGGACAATGACATGACAGCCAGTAAACAGTAAATCCATCAGGGATGGCTTCAGCAGCGTATTAAAGCTGTCTTCAGCAATGTCCTAGCTGAAAACTAGAGTTGCAAAAATCTGGTAACTTTCCCCAAATTCCAAGGTTTTCATCCTGGTTGGAAGATTCCTGGAATTAGGAGGGAACAAGAAGTAAATCCGGAATCCTACCACCAGGATTTCTGGAAAACCTGGGAATTTGGAGAAAGTTACCAGAATTTTTCAACCCTTCTGAAAACCTTTCAATTGATGATGTCCTATTATTCAATTGATGTCCCATTCTTTGAAACTCAAAGCAATGATTTCTCAAAGCAACTGAAAAAACTCAGATGGAAAATTTACTTTGAGTTACACTAATAAGTTTGTCCCATACTTCCATTAGATTAAATGAATCCTGTTGTTGTAGTGGAGAGGTATGAGAGGATGTGATATGTGATTTTGAGAATGAGAATATTTATAAATGTACAAAAATGCAACATGAAGTCGTTGGTGCCAAAATTCTATGATATTTTTGTACTGTGTAGTTTTCTGACCATCTCCATGAATTGAAACAACCATGAGACCAGCCAGATTAAATATGAAATCAGGTATTGACCTCCCAGTCTGCCAGGTCAGACAGACTTCTCAGACCAAAACACTGGAATGGATGAATGGATAAGTATTGCTGTTTAATCTACCTTCATCCATAACATCTGGTAAATACATCAGGAAGTGTATATGGGATGTTGTTCCCACTGTGACTATTAAAACCTACCCAAACCAAAAACCGTGGATTGATGGCAGCATTCGCGAAAAACTGAAAGTCACGGCAAGGTGACTGGGAATATGGTTGAATACAAACAGTGTAGTTATTCTATCCGTAAGGCAATCAAACAGGCAAAGTGGAGTGTCAATTCAACGGCTCAGACATGAGACGTATGCACCAGGGTCCATAGACAATCATGGATTACAAAAAGAAAACCTGCCACGTCACGGACACCGACGTCTTGCTCCCAGGATGACATTTACATTACATTTTAGTCATTTAGCAGACGCTCTTATCCAGAGCAACTTACAGTTAGTGAGTGCATACATTATTTTGTGTGAGTATTTATTTTTTTTATACCCCCCCTTGGGAATCGAACCCACAACCCTGGCGTTGCAAACACCATGCTCTACCAACTGAGCTACATCCCTGCCGGCCATTCCCTCCCCTACCCTGGACGATGCTGGGCCAATTGTGCGCCGCCCCATGGGTCTCCCGGTCGCGGCCGGCTACGACAGAGCCTGGATTCGAACCAGGATCTCTAGTGGCACAGCTAGCACTGCGATGCAGTGCCTTAGACCACTGCGCCACTTGGGAGACCTACAAAAAGAAAACCAGCCACGTCGCCAACACCGACGTCTTGCTCCCAGACAAGCTAAACACCTTCTTCGCCTGCTTTGAGGATAACACAGTGCCACCGACGAGGCCCACTACCAAGGACTGTGGCCTCTCCTTCTCCGTAGCCGACGTGAGTAAGACGTTTAAGCGTGTTAACCCTCGCAAGGCAGCCGGCCCAGACGGCATCCCTAGCCGCGTCCTCAGAGCATGCGCAGACCAGCTGCTGTCCCCACATGCTTCAAGATGTCCACCATTGTTCCTGTACCCAAGAAAGCAAAGGTAACTGAACTAAATGACTATCGCCCCGTAGCACTCACTTCTGTCATCATGAAGTGCTTTGAGTGGCTAGTTAAGGATCATATCACCTCTACCTTACCTGACACCCTAGACCCACTTCAATTTGCTTACCGCCCCAATAGATCCACAGACGATGCAATTGCCAATGCACTGCACACTGCCCTATCCCATCTGGACAAGAGGAATACCTATGTAAGAATGCTGTTCATTGACTATAGCCCAGCCTTCAACACCATAGTACCCTCCAAGCTCATCATTAAGCTCGGGGCCCTGGGTCTGAACCCCGCCCTGTTCAACTGGGTCCTGGACTTCCTGACGGGCCGCCCCCCAGGTGGTGCATGTAGGAACCAACACCTCCACTACGCTGATCCTCAACACAGGGGCCCCACAAGGGTGCGTTCTCAGCCCCCTCCTGTACTCCCTGTTCACCCATGACTGCATGGCCACGTGCGCCTCCAACTCAATCATCAAGTTTGCAGATGACACAACAGTAGTAGGCCTGATTACCAACAATGACGAGACAGCCTACAGGGAGGAGATGAGGGCCCTGGCAGAGTGGTGCCAGGAAAATAACCTCTCCCTCAACGTCAACAAAAGGAAGGAGCTGATCGTGGACTTCAGGAAACAGCAGAGGGAGCACCCCCCTATCCACATCGACGGGACCGCAGTGGAGAAGGTGGAAAGCTTCAAGTTCCTCAGAGTACACATCACTGACAAACTGAAATGGTCCACCCACACAGACAGTGTGGTGAAGAAGGCGCAAAAGAGCCTCTTCAACCTCAGGAGGCTGAAGAAATTTGGCTTGGCCCCTAAGACCCTCACAAACTTTTACAGATGCACCATTGAGAGCATCCTGTCAGGCTGTATCACCGCCTGGTACGGCAACTGCACCGCCTACAACCGCAGGGCTCTCCAGAGGGTGATGCGGTCTGCCCAACGCATCACCAGGGGCACACTGCCTTCCCTCCAGGACACCTACAGCACCCGGTGTCACAGGAAGGCCAAAAATATCATCAAGGACATCAACCACCCGAGCCACGGCCTGTTCATCCCGCTACCATCCAGAAGGCGCGGTCAGTACAGGTGCATCAAAGCTGGGACCGAAAGACTGAAAAACAGCTTCTATCTCAAGGCCACCAGACTGTTAAATAGCCATCACTAGCCAGCTACCACCCGGTTACTCAACCCCTTACCTTAGAGGCTGCTGCCCTATATACATAGACATGGAATCACTGGTCACTTTAATAATGTTTACATACTGCTTTACTCATTTCATATGTATATACTGTATTCTAGTCAACTGTATTTTAGTCAATGCCACTCTGACATTGCTCGTCCTAATAGTTATATATTTCTTAATTCCATTATTTTACGTTTAGATTTGTGTGTATTGTTGTGAATTGTTAGATACTACTGCACTGTTGGAGCTAGGAACACAAGCATTTCGTTACACCCGCAATAACATCTGCTAAAAATGTGTAAGTGACCAATAAGAATTATATTTTTTATTTTATTTTATTTAAATCTACCTTCATCCATAACATCAGTCTTCTTGACTTTAAGTCCTAATCCACCATAATTCTAATGCATGCAGTTATGGATCAACTCAATGTATAGATCAGATCAACCTAAATGTCTACATTCCCATAAGCCATAGACAGCAATACATACATTTCTGTCCAGTATGTTGCTGAACATAGAAAAAATTGCTTGCCGTGCTGTGTTCTCATCTATACCTACACAGTTTTCTAAAATATATGTGCTATACAGTACAATCTTTGCTCAAGGACTTAAGAGTGGACGCCATTCAGGCTACAGTGGGGGAAAAAAGTATTTAGTCAGCCACCAATTGTGCAAGTTCTCCCACTTAAAAAGATGAAAGAGGCCTGTAATTTTCATCATAGGTACACGTCAACTATGACAGACAAATTGAGAGAGAAAAAATCCAGAAAATCACATTGTAGGATTTTTAATGAATTTATTTGCAAATTATGGTGGAAAATAAGTATTTGGTCACCTACAAACAAGCAAGATTTCTGGCTCTCACAGACCTGTAACTTCTTCTTTAAGAGGCTCCTCTGTCCTCCACTCGTTACCTGTATTAATGGCACGTGTTTGAACTTGTTATCAGTATGACACCTGTCCACAACCTCAAACAGTCACACTCCAAACTCCACTATGGCCAAGACCAAAGAGCTGTCAAAGGACACCAGAAACAAAATTGTAGACCTGCACCAGGCTGGGAAGACTGAATCTGCAATAGGTAAGCAGCTTGGTTTGAAGAAATCAACTGTGGGAGCAATTATTAGGAAATGGAAGACATACAAGACCACTGATAATCTCCCTCGATCTGGGGCTCCACGCAAGATCTCACCCCGTGGGGTCAAAATGATCACAAGAATGGTGAGCAAAAATCCCAGAACCACACGGGGGGACCTAGTGAATGACCTGCAGAGAGTTGGGACCAAAGTAACAAAGCCTACCATCAATAACACACTACGCCGCCAGGGACTCAAATCCTGCAGTGCCAGACGTGTCCCCCTGCTTAAGCCAGTACATGTCCAGGCCCGTCTGAAGTTTGCTAGAGTGCATTTGGATGATCCAGAAGAGGATTGGGAGAATGTCATATGGTCAGATGAAACCAAAATAGAACTTTTTGGTAAAAACTCAACTCGTCGTGTTTGGAGGACAAAGAATGCTGAGTTGCATCCAAAGAACACCATACCTACTGTGAAGCATGGGGGTGGAAACATCATGCTTTGGGGCTGTTTTTCTGCAAAGGGACCAGGACGACTGATCTGTGTAAAGGAAAGAATGAATGGGGCCATGTATGGTGAGATTTTGAGTGAAAACCTCCTTCCATCAGCAAGGGCATTGAAGATGAAACGTGGCTGGGTCTTTCAGCATGACAATGATCCCAAACACACCGCCCGGGCAACGAAGGAGTGGCTTCGTAAGAAGCATTTCAAGGTCCTGGAGTGGCCTAGCCAGTCTCCAGATCTCAACCCCATAGAAAATCTTTGGAGGGAGTTGAAAGTCCGTGTTGCCCAGCGACAGCCCCAAAACATCACTGCTCTAGAGGAGATCTGCATGGAGGAATGGGCCAAAATACCAGCAACAGTGTGTGAAAACCTTGTGAAGACTTACAGAAAACGTTTGACCTGTGTCATTGCCAACAAAGGGTATATAACAAAGTATTGAGAAACTTTTGTTATTGACCAAATACTTATTTTCCACCATAATTTGCATATAAATTCATTAAAAATCCTACAATGTGATTTTCTGGAAAAAAAATCTCAATTTGTCTGTCATAGTTGACGTGTACCTATGATGAAAATTACAGGCCTCTCTCATCTTTTTAAGTGGGAGAACTTGCACAATTGGTGGCTGACCAAATACTTTTTTTCCCCACTGTACATCAAGCCTCTAAATCCAGACTGAATCATGCCACGTTTCACCGATGTTTCACCTCATGTGGAACGGAGCTGAATTCAGTCAGGATTTCCAGGCTAGGTTCAATCTACTGCTCTCTACCCCTCTTTGCTGCATGCTTGTCTCAGGACTAACTAAAAAATAGCTTTTCTGCTTGCTCTGTTTTGTATTCACAACCAAGCTGCATGACAACAAACAATCAAATCTAACTTTTTTGACAAAGCAATCCAACATTTCTCTCAGGTTAAATGACCAATGGGAGTAGTTGTTTAATTCTGTAGATGGGTCGTTCCACCAATCCGGTGCCTTCTAAGAAGTGTTGATTTCACCTCATTTTGACATTCTGTCACAAAGAGACCCATGGGCGGTGCACAATTGGTAAATGTAAGAGCACATGTTCAACTTCAGAAAAATACGTTTTCCCATCTCAAGAGGCAAAAAGAAAAATAGTAAGTGCATGTTAAGTGCCAAATAAAAGCAACAGGGTTGACCATAACATGGTTGACCGTAACAGGGTTGACCGTAACAGGGTGTTGAACGTAACAGGGTTGACCGTAACCTGGTTGACCGTAACAGGGTTGACCGTTACAGGGTTGACGATTTCTTCTTAAATCAGCCGTAAATACCCTTGTGACAAGGGGGAATGGAAAGCTTGTTGTGTACAACAGGGAGAGGCAATTGAATGCAAGTTTCACAAAAAAAAAAAATACATTTATAGTCTGTCTATCTGTGGGTTAAAGGGTTGACGTGTTACGCTCAATCTGCTCAGTTTTTCACCACAAAACACCAGAACATGGCCAGAAAGAGTAGAACCAGTTCACCTGCTTTTACACTATGATTTGACTTTTAGATGTTCAAAGTTTCAACATATTAAAACGAGAGTTCAGTTCACGTAAATTAATCACCAATCACGTGAAATAAATGATAATCTTCAGAAATGACTTTTTTCAAAGCAACAAAATTACTTGGAGACATTTTGGGATTAAGTGGGTTAAAATCTCCCTAGAAGTTGATGGAGGGGCATTTCAGCGAGCCTTTATTCATATAAAAAAAATCGGATTTATTGAATTCTCCATGTGGTCTATATAAAAAGGGCACTTCATTTAATATAACAGGCTTTTAAAATTCTATATTGGTGCACAATTTCTACTGAAAATATAAGACACAAAAGGCCCTCTTTTCTTGGAAGGCCCCAGGTGTACCTAGTCTAACACCAATGTTGTGTTGTTAATTCAATGAGTTATTATTATTATGAAGATTCTCAGTTTCATCAGTAGAATTTATTGTGGCTTTTTAATGCTTCCAACTTGTGCAACTTTTAAACTTTGACTTTGACCAAATACCTGTGATATGAGCTGCTTACGGCGTGTGCTTCGGGTGGTCATGTGACATGACGTGGCACTGTTTGTAAAGCTCAACCATGATGACAATGAGTTTATAATGATGTCGTCCGTTCGAGTCGATTACGTTTTGTGATGTGTGTTTCTGAGGTTTTGTACAGCTTCTCAGTGATGGGTAGTGAACTTTGAAACAACAACACCTGTGTTTTTTCTAGACTGTTTCATTACGGCAATGCAATTTCCTGTGTTTTTTTGACCCCCTGCTTTCTTTCTTTCTTTCTTTCTTTCTTTCTTTCTTTCTTTCTTTCTTTCTTTGAGGTTGTAAATTACATTAATCTCCTTGGATTATTATGGAACATAAAGAGCACAGGAGGAAGCCGAGGGGAAATGCTTTCATTTCTGAACAACTCTTTCATTCATTTTAACAACAAGGACTGGAGGAGAACTGCAAGGAGGAGAACAATGTCTTTTCAACTTTGACTCGTTCATTCATTCTATTGTGATTGTGACAATGGACTTTTTGATGGACCTAATGGAAAAACTCTTTTGCATAGCAATGAATGCACCCTGTAAAAATATATTATTAAGCTTTTTGTATTTTTTTTTCTGTTGTTTGTCATTTGCACTAGCTACTTTTTCTCTGATCTGTTTGTGCAGAATGATTCATATGACAAATGAATTTGCATTATTGTATGAATGGATGCTGTAACTGCTGTTTTTATTAAAGTGATTATCTGTTAACTGCGAAGATGCATAATGACTGAGTGGTTTCTTCTTGTGTGGGTTTATAGGGAAAAATGGTAGCACTTTATTTGATGGGCACCTACATAGGCAATCTGGTCTCAGAGCATTTCATATTATTCTGTATGTAAATCCCAGACACTCCATTTAGTATGAGTTGTTACAAATTGCAATTCGTATAATATGTCATGAATTTCCCAAAATGTATGATGTTACGAATTCCAATTTGTTGTTGCTAACTTTAGCTAGGTGGCTAATGCTAACATTAGCTAGCTGGCTAACATTAGCTAGGCTAGGGGTTAAGGGTTAAAGGGTTAAGGTTAGGAGTTAGGTTAAAGGGTTAAGGTTAGGGTTAGGGGAAGGGTTAGCTAACATGCTAAGAATTTGCAAAGTAGCTAATTAGCTAAAATGATGAAGTTATCCATGATGAGAATCGGAACACCCAACCTTTGGGTTGCTAGACGTTCACATTATACGCCCACTCGTCCACCCCGACCAACCACCCTCCTTTCGTTTTTGCCTTATGTAACCTTCAGTCTTATGTAACCGTACCAAACATAACGTATCATACTATTTTGAGTGTCCCAAATTTGCATTTCCTATGTTACATCTAGTGTATGAAACCAGGCTGACATAGAACATCATAACACATTGATTGATTTTATTTGTCAGTAAAAAAAAAAACATATACAGTGCCAGTCAAAAGTTTGGACAAACCTACTCATTCAAGGGTTTTTCTTTATTTTTACTATTTTCTACATTGTAAAATAATAGTCAAGACATCAAAACTATGAAATAACACATTTGGAATCATGTAGTAACCAAAATTGTTAAACAAATCAAAATATATTTTATATTTTATATTCTTCAAATATCCACCCTTTGCCTTGACAGTTTTGCACACTCTTGGCATTCTCTCAACCAGCTTCATGAGGAATGCTTTTCCAACAGTCTTGAAGGAGTTCCCACATATGCTGAGCACTTTCCTTCACTTGGTGGTCCAACTCATCCCAAACCATCTCAACTTGGTTGAGGTCGGGTGATTGTGGAGGCCAGGTCATCTGATGCAGCACTCCATCTCTCTTCTTGTTCAAATAGCCCTTACAGAGCCTGGAGGTGTGTTTTGGGTCATTGTCCTGTTGAAAAACAAATGATAGTCCCACTAAGCGCAAACCAGATGGGATGGCGTACCGCTGCAGAATGCTGTGGTAGCCATGCTGGTTAAGTGTGCCTTGAATTCAAAATAAATCACAGACCGTGTCACCAGCAAAGCACCCCCACACCATCACACCTCCTCCTCCATGCTTCACGGTGGGAACCACACATGCGGAGATCATCCGTTCACCTACTCTGCGTCTCACAAAGACATGGCGGTTGGAACCAAAGATCTCACATTTGGACTCATCAGACCAAAGGTCAGATTTCCACTGGTCTAAGTCTCTTCTTCTAATTGGTGTCCTTTAGTAGTGGTTTCTTTGCAGCAATTCGACCATGAAGGCCTGATTCACACAGTCTCCTCTGAACAGTTGATGTTGAGATGTGTCTGTTACTTGAACTCTGTGAAGCATTTATTTGGGCTGCAATTTCTGAGGCTGGTAACTCTAATTAACTTATCCTCTGCAGCAGAGGTAACTCTGGGTCTTGCTTTCCTGTGGCGGTCCTCATGAGAGACAGTTTCATCATAGCACTTGATGGTTTTTGCAAAGTTCTTGAAATGTTCCGTATTGACTGACCTTCATGTCTTAAAGTAATGATGGACTGTCGTTTCTCTTTCCTTATTTGAGCTGTTATTGCCATAATATGGACTTGGTCTTTTACCAAATAGGGCTATCTTCTGTATACCACCCCTACCTTGTCACAACACAACTGATTGGCACAAACACATTAAGAAGGAAATAAATTCCATAAATTAACTTTTAACAAGGCACACCTGTTAATTGAAATGTATTCCAGGTGACTACCTCATGAAGCTGGTTGAGCGAATGCCAAGAGTGTGCAAAGCTTTCATCAAGGCAAAGGGTGGCTACTTTGAAGAATCTCAAATATAAAATATATTTTTGATTTGTTTAACACTTTTCTTTGGTTACTACATGATTTCATATGTGTTATTTCATAGTTTTGATGTCTTCACTATTATTCTACAATGTAAAAAATAGTAAAAATAAAGAAAAACCCTTGAATGAGTAGAATGTGTCCAAACTTTTGACTGGTAGTGTATATACACAATATAAAACGTGGCCGGGATTGCGCAATAAAGTCAGACTTATTTTTTAAAAATAATTTTTTACGTTGATATAGACCTTTTTTGGAATGTAAACAATAACAAACTCATTTAGAACGCCCCACTCTACATCCGGCTAGCTAGCTTCCCCAGAGAACTGTGTCAAGTGTTTACAAGCAGAACATTTAACAAAGTCTACTTATAAAGACAAGGAACAGTGGGGTTACGTGTAGGCTAGTCAGTGTATGGAGAAGTCGGAGGTGGAGCGAGCCAGCCAGACCAACCTGGTCTCAGAGCATTTCGTATTATTTCTTTATGTAAATCCGGGAACACTCCCTTTAGTATGATATGTTACGTTGGGTATGGTATGTATTCATTTGTGGTTGTCCATCACCCATTTCGTATGATATGTTACGAATTACAATTCATATTGTATGTTACCGTTCCTGGTGCAAAAACAATGTGCTATCCCGGAGCTCGAGTAAATTACATTACTAAGCTGCTCCCGAATGAACTACGTCAGGACATGGAAATCGATTCTATCATAGTCCATGTGGGTTTTAATGACATTATGAAGGGCAGCTTTGAACAGTTGAAACTGGATTTTAAAGAACTGATTGACTCTCTGCTAGTGTAACGGTTCTCATATGCTTGGACGACAAAAGGACACAGTGCTGTTCTCTTTCACGGTTTATTCTGTAGACACACACACAACACTGTGTAAACTTCAGAGCAACTGCAAATCCTTCATGAAATCTACATCAAACTCTTTAGCTTTTTTTTAATAAAATAGTTGTAGAAAAGCTAAATGCATATTTACATATATTACATCTATAACAACATGACTACAACTACTCAACTTATAATGACTGCATCTGATGGCCATAACACAGCACCGCAGCACATGGGCTACACGTGTACAGTAACATAACATTGTTCCATAGCCGTTTGGGAGCACGTACCTGCAGACACACACACAACACAATGTGTAAACTAAAGAGCAACTGCAAATCCGTCATGAACTCTGAGTGACATGAAATAAAAAATACATTTTACACTTCACGAGGCGACATTAGCAAGGAAAGTGCAGGACGGACGCTAGCTAGCCTTTAGCGTACAGCAACGTGCTAACTTTTGTAAATGTCCATAAAATTGTAAATACAGGACACAACTCTGTAACACCGTCACATAACATGTCAACATCGATACTGATTATAAAACAATATAGTTTCCAGCCTAACATACATTAGATATCATTTTTAAAAAGTGAAAACACTGGGTGCAGCATGGATCACGATACATACCTCCATCAAAGTTTAACAACTCTTTGGCTGGATCCTGCGTGGTCATGTGCACATGTATGCACAGAGATGCAGTTGCACAAATAATACAGCAGGTGGCTCCACAACTATACAGACTTATACCTGGCTGCTTAATTATAGCAAAACTCAATCAACCAAGAATGTCTATTTCAACCCTGTTACACTAGACACTAATAGAAGGCCCATCATATCCGGCCCTGTGCCCTCTCTGAATCGTGGCATTGAACGCTTTAGCAGGATTGTTTCTCTTCACTGGCTAAGTGATTATTGCAGCTCAATGGGTGTAACTTTTGTTGACCATTTCGATACCTTTTGGGGAAAAAACACGTTTTATAAGGAGGATAGAATCCATCCAAATAATTTGCGTTCCTGGATCCTTTCACAGCATTATAAGGCTGCGTTGAGACAATGACTTATTAATGACCCAAAGCCCAGCTCAGTTAATCTCTATGGGATTGGTGTCCTGTATACGGGACGGTTGAGCTAACGTGCGCTAATGTGATTAGCATGACTGTTGTAAGTAACAGCAAACTTTCCAGGACATAGACATGTCTTATATGGGCAGAAAGCTTAAATTATTGTTAATCTAACTGCACTGTCCAATTTACAGTAGCTATTACAGTGAAAAACGACCATGCTATTGTTTGAGTAGAGTGCACAACAACAAAAAACGTATCACGGCAACTGGTTTGATACATTCACCTCTTGCTCTGATTTGTCATCCTAAGGGTCCCAGAGATAAAATGTAGCATAGTTTTGTTTGATAAAATCAATTTTTATATTCAAATGTAGGAACTGGGTTTTACAGTTTGAACCCCTGCTGTCTCTGGCTCCACATCCACCCCGCCCGGCCATCTAGATGTGTGAAAGTTAGTGTATAAGCTAATGATCCATCATGTATGACATTCCTGTGAGTGTGTAAACTTACATTTTGTATTACCATATCATTACTGTATGTTCTCTATAGTTATGTACTTGAAAATGTATCAATCGACCAATTCAGCACATTTGGGCAGACTTGATACAAAATAGTCCAGT